GGTCGAAATCATGGAACCATCCCGACGAACGGAGGACCCCCTCGACGAAGAAATGAACGACGAAGCACTAAGGGATGAACTCGACCTAGTCGAGGAAATCCGATCGGGTGCAGCCCTGCGCGAAGCCACCCTAAAACAACGAGTGGCTCTACGCCACAACGACAAGGTCATCAAGCGCGAGTTCGAAATCGGCAGCCTAGTATTACGCAGGAATCAGAAAGATTCCCGCGAAGGGAAGCTGGTCGCGAACTGGGAAGGACCTTATCGCGTCCACGGCACCACGGGTACCGGGGCGTACTACCTCGAGCAATTAGACGGAGAGCCATTACCACGACCCTGGAACGCTGCTAAGCTAAAGCAGTACTACAGTTAGAAACTACCGACACCTGGGACCCTCGACCAACGGCACCCGCGCTCGGTTAACGAGGAAAAACGTCCGACTTCGTATAAAGGCTAAGGTACAAGCCCGACATACGGCCAAATCGCACAGCATCGCGCGACGAACGATGACGATCGATAGTGCCCGACGTGGACAGCTATACCGAGCACCACCGTCGTTGTACCCATGAGGCAGAACACCCAGCTCGCGATGGGCAGTTCACGCCAAGGGCGAGTAGTCCCTACCGGGCCTCACGCCCGACTGAGCAACTTCGCTCCGAATGCCCGACAAGTCGTCAAGAATGACGGGCCATCTACAAGGGTCAAAGGGAAGTTTCTCCCCTCGAGCACAACACTTAGGTGACTCTGGCCAGCGAAAGAGGGCCGGGCACGTACACAAACGGAAGGCGGGCAGACTCGCTCGCCAAATCACAGCCACTTACGGGCACGTCTCGGGCCCATGACTTAGGCTAAAATTTTATGCAAATATGTAAGATTTCAAGCAAGGGCAAAACATTCAAAATGTAAAACAGCATTCAGATAAAAATGCCCGAAGGCGACAAAACAATTATAAACCGACCAAGAAGGCCGGCGATGTTCATAACGTACAACAGACGGGCACGCAGGCCCAAAGAATACAAAATGTCAAAGGCACGCAGGCCCGCTATCCTAGTCAGGTTTCCCCAGAACCATCATTGTCGACGACGGGAGAGTCGGGCGGAGGAACGATCACGCCATCCATGATCTGATGTGTGTGGCCGATACCCTCAGTGACCAGACCAGGGTTTAACAAGGAGAGCTGACCAACTGCGGAGTTGAACCCATCCTCCAGGGCACCGACGCAATCTGCCTCGAGGAGCCGGATATGGGCGACCAGCTCCAACCGACTCTTCAAAGCCGCTATGTCCTCCGGCTCGTCCTCGGCAGGTTGCATGGCAGCATTCATTTCCTCGATCTGCTGGGCCAAGCGTCCGACTTTGGCCCCCAGACGATCCCTGTCTGCCCGGAGCAGCTCCCCCTCCTCGGCCAACTTCCCTGACTTTTCCTTCTCCAGGGTCAACATCTCCCTCTCAGCATCCAGCATCGCCGTCTGCTCGCGGAACATCCCCTCGGAGCGTTCCAGAGCGGTCTTCAACTTCCGCGAGCTCGAGGTAAGGGCCGCCTTCTCCTGCTCGAGTTCTTTGACACGGGCAGGATCCCCTCCTTCCTCGGATAGCACCAAGGCCATCTCGGCCATTTTCACCAGCCCGTCCATGCTGGCAGCCAGATACATCTTCCGATCCTCTTTGCTCATCCTTTTGATAGCTTCAGCCTCGTCGGCAATCACTGTCAGAGGGAACCTCTCGAAGAAGCCCTCCTCTTTGAAGTAAGGGGGGAACGCGAAAGACTTAACGGCACTGGCGTCCTCGCCAACAGTCGGACCACTTTCCACACGGGTCCTCTTCCTCTGCATCAGGACGGCACTAGGGTCGACCTCTTCAACTTCTGGGGTCCCATTCGACGCGGCCCCCAAGCTTGGCGGTGAGTCCACCCTCACCGGCTGAGGAGCACTTGGACTGTGTGGTGGGCCCATCCTCGTTGCCTGCGGGGCCTTCACGACCCTCCTGCCTCGCTTCTGGTCGCAAGACAATTTCAAAAGCCTTTCATGTCGGTCGGCCATCGAACCTGCACAAAATAAAAAATGGGTTAGTATCGAAGCAAGCTCATAAACAATGACGAGCAAAGATATTTGAGCAACAAACAACCTAACAGACGGGCAGCCTGCCTGTACGTCTCGCACTCCATGAGTGCCTTGGTGTCGATCGGCCGAGACTCAAACGTTGGGTAACCCTCTGCGTCTAGGATGTCGTCCCCTTCCCTCGTAGCCCACCGGGCAGGGTGGAAGCTATCGACAAACCGACAAAGGGTGGCGTACGCCTCCTCATCCTCCGAGCACATGTCCCCGGTAGCAGTGTGGTAGTAACCAGTCCCATGCTCGTAGTGCCTGAATATCCAGTGCACATGGAACTTAGTCGTACGTGCCATCACAGGACTCCCATCGTCGCCCAAAACCGCCTCCCCGTCGTCATCACTTAGAGCCTCCTCCTCCTCGTACAGGGATCCTAAAGCCGAGGTGGTAACTGGCCGCACTACGTACCACTTGTCTTTAAAACCCCTTACGGAGTCCATATACATTTTGAAGAGTCTCCTCGACTGCTTCAAGGAGACCCAGCTGTGTTTCCCTCCACGGGACTGGCGCTGCAGATGAAAAATCCGGAAGAAAAGCGGTATAGTCGCCCCGATCCTCAGATAGCGACACGTCAGCTCAAACGCCCGGATGAAGGCGAGTGAGTTTGGATGTAGCTGGGACGGGGCCAACTCCAGGTGAGTGAAGACCCCGACCTGGAAATCAGTGAAGGGCAGCCGCAGCCCGAGATCTTTGAACGCGATCTCGTACATCGCGAAACTATATTCCGGATAAACCGAGCAGATCCTTGAACGGGAGGACGGTCGCATGACTACGAAGTTCTTTTGGAAGTCGGGCTGGCCCTGGCCCGCTTCGATGACAGCGTATGGATTTCGGTCGCCCCGGCTGTAGATCGACGCGATCCCTCGGGGTTCGACGCCCACCCAATCCAGCAAAGGGTCGGTCACAGTATCAATCAGGTTGACCGACTCATCGGCACTCTGTTCTTCACGATCGTGGCGCCTGGAAGAGCTCGGCTCGTCCGCCATGGTTACCTGCAGAGCACGGGAAACCAGTCAATTGGGCACGAAGCCATACGCTCGACAAATCTCGTCGTCCCATTCACGACCACATAGTCCGTTTCCACGAATGGGTGCCTCCCCGACATCCTGAAACTCGATGTGTTCTTCCTCAAACCAATTACGCGGCCACTCTCCAACATGTCGACCCAAGGTATGAACATGGCGAGCCACACCATGAGGCCCACGGGCAAGACCATGAACATACCGGGCGCGATCATGAATCAGGCGCCCTGGATCACGAAGACCCCGGGCAGCGCCGAAGTTTATCACCTAAAACTATGAATACGCCGACCACAAACATGCGTTTTCCGGTCCTAGGCATGAATATGTCGGGCTAAGTATGAGTTTACCGGGCTAGTCCCACGCGCACAGTCCCTAAAACATCTACAAACGCAAAAAAAAAACATGCATTTTAACAGGAAAATGAAGAAGATAAACCACTTACTTGAATCAAAAAGTAGGATTTGGCTACGGAGTAGAAGAATCTGTGACAGAAAGTCGCAACTGGAAAAAATCTGGAAGAGCAGCAGCAGAGAGAGCACAAAGAATAGAAACGTGTTATGGGGCCCAAGGTTCCTATTTATAGTGATGACGTGGAATACCAAACGTCACCTCGGGCAACCACGGAGCCTCTCTCCTCGACGCGCTGCTCCCAACGCAATGATGACCCTATCCCCATAGGGTGGCGGCACAGTTCCCGAAAGATACCTCGTATGCTCGACAGGCGCGCCCGGTGAGGATCCTCCAGGCATCCACCGCGGAAGATGTCTCCGAGCACGGCACGAGGAGGCCCTCGAGGGCCTACACCTCTGCCCCGGGCACGAGACCTCGATGAGGAAACGACCTGAGTTCAAGCCATGGCTCCTCACAGAGGAACCACGACTTGGGGGGCTCCTGTTCTAGACTGGGCCCGACAGGCCCAAAAGCGTTGCAAAGGCCCAGTCCAAATGGACTTACAAGGGCCACACCGACCAAAGAGTACGACCGTGCCCGACGCGTAGTCGCTGGCTCGACAGTACACCTCCAGCTCGACATGCTGTGGTCCAGCACCACATTCTGAGGCCCAGCTCGACGTTGCCTCGAGCACCCCAGCTAGGGCAGACTCAGTCCACTGTTCCCCCAACGATACTCCGAAAAGACCGCGTCTCCGTCCGCCCGCACTTCACGCAGAAAATCCAGGAAGGGGACCACGTGCGGGTCCCCATTACGCACGTAGAACCTGGCAGTTCCTCCATTGGGCCAAACCTGCCCGGCCCAATGAAGGAACCTTGGCCCAGCGCTGGGGGCTATAAATACCCTCTGCTTCCAGAGGGTTAGGTATTCATCATTCTAACCTTACACTTGCTATTATCCGCTCGTACTCCTACTTACTTCAGCATCGGAGTGCCTTGCAGGTACCCCCCCCACCTCGTTCAAAAAACTTTCTGCTCGGAGCCAGCCGTGACGGTCCATTTCTGATCAGGTCAGATCACATATGCATTCTACCCGTCCCCATGATCTCTTCCAATTACACTGATACAATTTTCAAAATAAACCTTTTTTATTTCTTATCATAAAAAAAAAAAATACACATCCGTTCTCATTAATGTCTAAATGGAAGAAAAAGCAAAACCATTGAGAACCACTTCAAAAAGAAATAAATTCAAATTATTATCTTTTTTAGGGAAAATAAGTTTATTTTTTGTTGAGAAACGTTATTTAAAATTCAAAAACAAAAACAATTTCATTTCCCTCTCTCTCGTGCGAAGAAAAACCCCTGAAGCTCCTCACGATTCTCACAACACAGGTTCGCACCATTCCTTCTGCTTTCCGATTCGTCTTCATTCTTCTATCACGCGATTCTACAAATTCAATTTCTCTAAACAGTTTGAAACATGGTTGATAATTCGAAACGGCAATGGTCCATCAACGATTTCGAGATCGGAAAACCACTCGGAAAAGGCAAATTCGGTAGAGTCTACGTCGCCAGAGAAATCAAGGTATCCAGATTTTCACCGTTTTCTTTTTGCTTTTTCTCTTGTTTATCTCATGCATCAAACTTTGACATTTCTGTAACTGTTAGTTAGGGTTTTAAATGTTCAATGTGATCCCAATAGTTTTTTTAATTGATTTTGAACCTTTTTTTTTTCAGAGTAAATATGTGATTGCGTTGAAGGTTATCTATAAGGAACAACTGGAAAAGTATAACATTTTGCATCAACTAAGGAGGGAAATGGAGATACAGATAAGTCTTAAACATCCAAACATCTTGCGTCTCTATGGTTGGTTTTACGATGACGAGCGTGTTTTTTTGATTCTTGAATATGCTCATAATGGTGAGCTATACAAGGAGCTTCGCAAAAGAGGTCATTTCTCAGAGAAGCAAGCTGCAACGGTATTCCTTTATTAGTTTATTGAGTGTGTGTCTATTTTGGAGGATGCCTAATGTGTCTGAGGCAATGTGTCAGGTTGTTTGATTTTGAGATTATAGTAAAACTGAGAGGAAATCAAAGAAGCCATAGTTTGATTTAAGAGGAACTTTAATATAATGTTTGTGATTTTAGTAGTTAAGCTAATTGTAACGACATGCCGTGAAAATTTGATTTGAAGAAACTAATTGACTTGTCAGTTTTGTAGCAGTTACATTTTTAAGTGTAGTTATATTTTTTTGATAACAATTAATTAAATTTGTCAATTGTGTGTTGCAAGAATAAATACGCAAAGGTTTACATGGAAATGGAAAATGAAAAAATCAAGTGTAAATTACATTCCCAGGAATAAAAAGTTCCAAGACATAATTTATAAATACTTGAAACAAACATGGGAATGCAAAGAATAAAGGTCACATTCCTGGGAATAAATTTAGAATCCATGAAACAGACACCCCCTCAGAGTTATTGTGGTTTTTGGGAAGGAGAGACCAAGATCTCAAAGACTTTTGAGCAACCCATATTTTATGCTGTATTTCATTGTAATCTTATGGAAAAGATTGTACTGTTTGTATATGAAACATTCTGGTTGTGAATCATTTCCCATAATACTTATCAATAAAATGATGTTGGGCACAGAGTTTCTATCCTTCAATGCTTATAATTGTACTCCTTTTTGAAGCAAATCTCTGTATTATATTGACTCTTACTTTTTTTCATTTCAAATTAAAATTTTTTAGTACATTTTAAGCCTCACAAAGGCATTGGCATATTGTCACGAGAAGCATGTTATTCACAGAGATATCAAGCCTGAAAACTTGTTGCTTGACCATGAGGTATCTTTTTATTCTATTACCTAATTTTATTTCCATTTTTCCAATATATATATATATATATATATATATATATATATATATATATATATATATATATATATATATATATATATATATATATATATATATATATATATATATATATATATATATATTTCTTCACTCTGTCAATTATGGCATAAAACATTTTACAGTATTTCATTTCAATCCTTTTATAATCTTCATTGTAGATATCCCTTGGGAATTAGTTTTAGTGAGTTGTTTATTTAATCTAGCTTGATAATGGCTTTTTGATTACAGGGTCGTCTTAAGATTGCCGACTTTGGTTGGTCTGTACAATCTAAAAACAAAAGACAAACCATGTGTGGAACATTGGATTACCTAGCTCCTGAGATGGTAGAAAACAGAGGTCATGATTATGCCATTGATAACTGGACTCTAGGTGTCCTTTGTTATGAGTTCCTCTATGGTGTTACTCCATTTGAGGCTGAGGGTCAAAATGAAACCTTCCAAAGGTATGAAAGGGCATGAAACTTGCATATATATCTTAAACTAAATTCATTTCCAATATATAAATGTAATGTATTTAAACTTGTGCAGGATAAGAAATGTTGATCTGAGCTTCCCTCATACCCCTCTTATTTCTAAAAATGCCAAACATCTGATAAGTCGGGTATGATTATCTTACATTGTATCTATCTACATTTTCACATCCATGAGTAGGTTCTTCTTCTTAATGCTACATGTAAATTCATGCAGCTCCTGATAAAAGATTCTTCAAAAAGGCTCCCACTTCAGAAGATAATGGAGCATCCTTGGATAAAAGAAAACACCACTGATATGGCTATCGGCGAGTAGTATCTAACGACTTTTTACACGTAATGGCCTATCCATGTAATAACCGACTCTTGCTATTGAATTACAGCCAGACATCTCTCCATAATTCACAATTCACTCTGTATTGTTTCATTTTTTCTTTGGTTAAGTTTGAGAATGAAACAACAATTGTTACTAATTTCACTTAGTTTTAGGAGGAGCATTAAAGGTCCATGTTTGTGAGAGAGTTTTTTGTAGACCATGATAAGGAAGTTTTCCTGCAAATATTAGTTAATGCAAATTAACAAAGAAAAGTTGAAATTCCATGGCATGTATTAAGGAGAGACTGGTAAATTCTTGATGTTTTTATTGTTTACTGTAATGTTAATGCTGGCTCTTATTTAGACTTTTGAATCTAGTGATTGGTACAATATTTACCTGGTGCAAAGAATTGAACAAGTCATTAGTATTAGGTAGTTTTTATACAGTTTCATCAGAAAATAATTTTTTTAGGAGTTATATAGAAAAGTAGTTTAGCTCTATAAACATAGAAATATAAGGAAAACTAGGATTATATATGCATATTTTAATACTGTGAAATTTTGTTGAAGTGGTGTTATTAAAGTTGTAGACTCACATTGCCAAAGTTAATTTCTAGATTAATAGATTCTATGTATATATCTTTGACATAATTCATCTTATGAACTATATTTTTGAATGAAATTCCAGAGCATTTGATAATAGCTTGCGTCATCAGCTACATAGACTTGATTTATTGAAAATTCAAACAAAAGTTAGCTAGTTTTTCATTTTGGTTTAAGTTATTAAACAAATTGGAGATAGTAAAAATTACATGTCATGTCTAATCTAATGGTTAATTACATGTTTATTAATTTGTGTCCATAGCAAGAACATTGTGTTTGTGTGTCATAGTGAGTCCACTGACTTGGAGTTTTAGGGTATTAGCCTCCCTAATTTTATTTTGCTTTTGTGCTTTTGATTATTAATGGTAAATACTTGGCATCCTAATGGTAAATCATTGAATCTGAAACTGCTTAGAATAATGGCATGGCAATATATTTGAGTGTTAGATAATATGTACTGGAATTTTTGGGGGTTAGTCTAACTTATGTTTTATTATAGATTTTTTTGTAACTTTTACTTTTATGTGATAATATTCACTTGGAACTCTATCCCTTTTCTCTTTTCTCTATTTTATTTTAATCTCTCTTTTCTCTACTATGACATTTCTATTGTTTAACATGATATTTAAGGCTTCTTTCGGTTCTTCTTGAACTAATTGTTTCTTCTACTATCGTGTTCTTAAAAAGTTGAAAATGTGTTTGTTTTGATTTTTAATGATTGGTTTTGTTGAAGAATTTATTTTTTCTTTTGAATCGCTAAATTATTCTCAACATGTTGTCTCCTATTTTGTGTGCTTGAAAATCTAGATCAAATCATATATGATTTTGCTTGGTTTTCTCATTGTTAGTTTTGATATTGGTCATGTATACTCTTTGTTTGTCCATCTCTTTGTCGGTTCTAGTATTGATATGTACAATATTTGTTTTCCCAACTCTTCGTTGTGATTTCGTTATGTTTGATTCAGTTTAATTTGATTTGATTTTGTTTCAATTTGTTCGGTTAATTTGATTTGATATAATTTGGTTCGAATTGATTTGGTTAAGTTTGGAATGATTCTGTTTTGGTTTGCTTGATTTGGTTTGGTTTAATTTTATTTAATTGGTTTGTTTTGATCACTATCTTTGGAAGCTCATTCTCTATCTTTATTGGTTTTTCTCTTTGGAAACTTCTCATCTATTTGATTGTTCTCTCTGTTACAGCGAACTCTCAACATCAACAAGTCGTTATCTTTAAAACTGTTCATTGATTATCATCATCAAAATCAACTGATAGTTATATTGATAAACACATAGATCCTTAAGGTCAACTAAGGTGTGATCGAGATGTTCACATCAAGTAATAGCTTATTTCTTTAAACCATGCCATGCTAAGTGAGTCATTAACCACTTTAAAATGTGGTTATGCACATCATTCCAAAATTATAGCCATGACATCCTTCATATTCAGCAAGGTTAAAAGGGTTATATATACATGTCTCAAAGGCTAGGTCAGAGATGAATTATTAAGCACTTCACTCTTTGTAGGCCTTGTATCTGAGAAATTATGGATTGTTATATCTTCGCCCTTAACCACTTTGTCCTTTGCAGACCTCATGCTTGAGGGACTCGTGACTATCATATCTTCATCCTCAATTACTCTCTCCTTGTAAGCCTTGCGCTTGAACGACTATGAACTATCACATCTTTCACTTTGCCTCATGTAGGCCCCGCGCTTGAAGAACTATGAACTGTCATGTCTTCGCTCTCAATCACTTCATCCATTTTACAAGCCTCGTGTTTGAGGGACTATGCACTATTATATTTTTGTCCTCAACTATTTTTCCCTTTGCAGGCCTCATGCTTGAGGAACTTTAGATTGTCAATTTTTTTGTCCTTAAAAACTTCGTTTCTTGAAAACCTAGTGCTTAAGGGACTCCGTACTACCATGGTCAATTTTTTTTGTCCTATGATGTAAAAAAACATCCTATACATTTCCTAAAATGCCCCTGAAAACTGGAAATATATTTTCGGTGCACACTTTTTTTTGTTAAATTTTAATTAATTACGGAAACACATTTCCGGAAGCACCCCACACACATACATTTCATTCATCTTTTAGCAACGACCCTATTTTACAACATAATTTATTTCGAAAATGCAGTTCCAGAATTTTCTAGAAATATATTTTCGGTTTGTTCCCAACCTTTATATACATATATGTTTGGGCAGGGTGCGTACCGAAAATAAATTTCCGATTTTAAGGGGCATTTTGGAAATTTTGCGTGGTGTGTAACACCCTTCTAAACCCCACAAAATATTCATAATTATTTAAAATAATATCAGAGTAATACAACAAAAAGGCGTCACATTTTATTCGTGAAATAATCATACGTGTTAGTCTTACTCCGTAACACGGATTTTCAAAATTATTTATGTACATATCCATTGTCAAGGTTTCACATACTTGCAGCGGAATCATAGTTCAAACAAGTTCATTAAAACACTTCATAGTGCCCCATGGTTCATGGTTCACAATTCAACATAATTTAAATTACATGGAAACAATTTAAATTTCATAACAAAACAAGAACAAAATAGTTTTCAAAACAAAGCATTCCCATCCCCGATGTTACATATTAGAACAAGACCTTCTAGACTCAACAGAAATAAAACACATGCTCCAAGCTATTCTTCTAAGCCTTTAGGGACTACTCCTCTTTACCTGCACGTTACCCACGTAGAGACAACATTCAAGCAGAAATGGTGAGTTCATCACAATCATTATATAAGATATAAGTAATAGACATAGCAGAATAAACCAAAAGTATCACAACATAAACTCGACATTGTTATATTCCAAGTACCTCAACAATCATACAAATTCAACAACACAATACAACATCATCAATTTAAGAACCATGTAATGCCACATATGATGTAGTGCAAGGACATAGACTCATGCATGTGGTACCAATTTATTTGATGGATATTGGGCCATCACCCTCCAAAGACCCCAATCATAGGATCGATTCTCACATAGAACTGGAGCATCATAGACATCCCAAATCCATACAATGGGATTGAGACCAAATCACTAGACCAACATCCTAAATCATCAAAACAGACCAAAGCTGTCCAATGAATGCATGATGAGCAACAATAATATGAACGACCACAACTAGTCATACGCATCATCATTCATGTATTCACCAATATAATCATATAAAACTCATAATATATACTCATATAAGCAAAGCATCATCATCATATCATCATATAAAACAAAATCATCATATTAACAACATATCAGCATCATACTTCATTACCACAAAACATCATAGAGATTCAACACAGGGAAACTAATTATATCCTAACTTGGGTACTAAAATTACCCTTCTTATTCTTCATTTTACTCCTTATAAATATAGTTCATCGCGTTAGCTACCCAACGCTTCGAACGACACCTCAAACAAAGTCCAGAAACTCAAGTTGCGGCCTTTAGAAAAATCTGTCAAAAATTAGATTGCTTGAGTCGACGCATGCCCCCTTTGAGTCGACGTATAGGTATTATGTATGCCTCAGGTGTGCTCAGGTCGACCTAATGAGTCGACACATACTGAGTCTTGGACCTGCATGAGTCGATGCATGACCTCTTTGAGTCGACACATGCTGTTTTATGCTGAATTTTTCTGCGATTTCACTACCTTATAGGTCATAAAACATCATATAATCACAGAGATTTATCATCTATCAACAACTTAATATACTACATCAATTATAAAATATTTACGGGTCATTATTCATTGCTAATCTATCAATTCTCCATCAAACAACATCGAATCACCATCTATGAAACCTAAGGCAAACCCTACCTCTATCTACCACTTAAATCAAATATAATAATCAGATAAACACACCTTACCTTATTGCTCAGAGTGATTGATTACGTTCTTCATGCCTCTTACGATGATTCTCTCCAAAGCCTTCGTGCCCTAGCCTCTCTTCTCCAAATTACACGATTGATTGTGAGAATAACAATTATTTCTTCTCTATTATCACAAAGGACCTCTAATATCTTCCTCAATTGCCCTCGCTTAGTCAACCTCTATTTACCATCACGTCCTCACTCTTCCCACTAATTACCAACACACCACTCTAATTAAAATAACCATTTAAATAATTATTCCTATTATTATATTCTGAATAATAATCCAAATAATTACTAAATAATTATTTAACCATTCTAATGCTTCTAATCATCATAATTCACATCATGCACAACCTCATACCAGCACATCACACATATAATCATATAAAACATAAATTATTCACAAATACTCCTAATAATTCATTAAATAAATAACTTCTTAAAATTGGGGTGTTAGAACTCTCACCCACTTAAAGAATTTTCGCCCTAAA